GAGAGAAAATAGTTCATTTTCGGCCGTTTCAGCCGATGTTTTTCGATACCGAATTTTTTTTTTAATGTAAAATCAATGATTTATTCATTTCTGCCCAATCTATTTTAATGGCAAAAACTCAAACAAACCAAACCAAAATTGGTCGATGCGGCGTTAATTAAAATTCAATTAAATGGGTTAGAAAAATCACGATATTTTATTATCGGCAGATGCGAGAACTTGAGAGACATTGTAATTACACACACACACACACTTTGACATTTGGTGTTTGTTGTTGACGCTGATTTCTTGCAATTATACATAATCAGCGCAAGCCACAAAGGGATCCAGAGTGGGAGGCAAATCGCATATGCCATATTATATTTGGCTATTAGTGTCTAATTCGCAGTAAAATTTTCGATTAGGATATTTTTAAAAAGATATGTATTAATAGATTGGACGAATCGTCGCCTTGTTTAAAATCAAATATCGAATATGAAGTATATTGAATGAAGATTTGATCAATTTCATTCAATTTAAATTCAAAAAACATGGATCTTCGGCGAATGGAATATAAAATAGGCGCCTCAAGTCTGCTTACATTAAATATCAATTTTTTTTTCTTGTGGAAAGCGACGCGGTGTCCGGACCAATATTCGTCTATAGACGAAAATTGCGTTATGATTTTAGACAAACCACATTGTTTGATGAGCCGATGGTTGTTTCTAACCAAATGTCAAAATGCTATTTCGTTGGATGCTTTTGTTTGCATTAATTCTTGGTAATTAAATCCGAATATTTGATTAATCTCACTGTACAGCATCTGAATAGCTAGAAACATTGTATCGAACTCAGTGAACATGTTTTGCATCCTGTTTGTTCTGTGCTACGTTTTGTCGTTACGTGATTTTTTGGTTTTTCATTGTGGTTTCGCATTGTATTTCAATGGCCAGCAATTTTCGTCGTCAATTAAATCAATAAAAGTAGTTCCGTCAAAAGAGTTTGAATTTCATGTAAGTAATTATTGCAAAACGAACAGAAAGCTCAATAAATACAGGGCATATAGCCTCGTGAAACCAAAAAATGACCGAATGAATATGCAATTATAGTCTTCGATTGCATTAAACGCAACCGCAGCATACAATTTGCATCTTATATTTGTAACTATTGTTTTTCCATCCGTGACAGCGCTATCGATCGCATTCATTTCAATTTGCGGTTTTCATGAAATAAATAGCAATTTAAAAATTATGCCGCACGCTGACAAGCCAGACGAAACAACGAAATGTACACTCGCATCTCGATCTCATATTAGTCGTCGTCGTTTAGACAACAATTAGCGTAAAATTTCCAATTTGGGTTTTTTTCGCTCACATCAATATTAAAGCGCATAGTGGTTTAGGCTTTGAGTGTGGCTCTAGCATTCAATGAATGTTTTTGGAATACAATTCAATGAATTATAATTTAATTGAAACAATGGAACACGATAAGTCTTTAATAATTTGATGAAACTAATTTCTAAATGAATTTCAAATTAGAATTGCAGCGGTTTTGATTTAACCATAAATTAGACGCGTCATTGCATCAACATTTCAACAATACAATTGAACGAATTGAGTCACCTGCACACATTTCGGTTTAGGTTCTATTTCGGGTGTGCATATTTTATCTATTTGGTAGCAAAAGGCCAAGTGATTAAATTCTATTATGCACAATATGGATTAAAATTAAACAAACAAAGGTTTCTTTTTATAAATAGCATGCATGTTTTGAGAGATGTGCTCTGGGTCAGATTAAACAAAGCCACCTAATTCTAAAAATAGAATCGTTGACTCATTCCGTAAAATGTCGTATCATGGCACACAATGGAAAAAGCTCCAAAAATACACGTCTGTTGTTTTGAAAGTTCACACAATAATGCTAGATTAAATACAAAGAAATCTTTAAATTGAAATCGAAAACAAACGATTATCTATCATCGCCCGTACTTGTTCAACGTTCACAACGCATGAATTGCAAATACAATGTACAAAAAGAACAAAGTCACCGTGATAAGATGTGCCGAAACGCACATAAACTGGATAAATATGCTCAACTGAAATCAACAACACACATACGACAAAAAACGTTGTTTACATTCGTCACTTCTGTATTCACTTGATGCGGACCGGTTGTGCACGATAGAAATGTTGAATATCCGCGTCGAAAACCGTTTGACTTAAAGTATTTCTCGTTGTCCATCTCCTTTTGCGTATTTTACGGTGCAAACGTAAACAAATTTTAATTCGAATTACGTTTATGTGCACTGGGGAATTCCGAACCACCCGTTCACACGAATCATGTCATTAATCCTTAAATCAAATTTGTTTGTTATTTTTTTACTGCAAAAAGTTTAAATTTCTGTCATGTATTGCATCGTATTAAATTTAATAATACATGTATATGCATTAACCACGGTTTGATTGTTGACATAATTTTCACTTCAAAAACATCAGGGCGACCAAATCAAATTGATCAACATTGTATTTGCGAAACAACAAATAACCGCAAGTAATTAAAGATACAACGGTGAAATGGCACGTGCTCGCACTATAAATATGAATACAAACGAAGAAAATATAATGATAAAAAAACGCATTTAAATTCCGCTTCCCAACTTCCGACTGTCGCAACATATTCAAACCGAAATAATCGCTCTGTCACCCAACTGGTTTATGCACTCCGAATGTCAATTCCATTTATGAAATACGCTTGAATAAATCAAATGGCGTTATAATTATAAGAAATAGAAATGGAACGCAGATTTTATATCACCAACAAAAAAAAAATCGGTTTTATGTGCAGATCTTATCAGAAGCCGTTAAATGGTCTGATGCCATTCAAGGTCGATTTCTCGATGTCGAGAAGAATAAAGTAAAATTTAAAAGAAACACACACACGTTTCAAGTTATATCATCATGAATTGAAGTAATTCCAAGTTGCCAACAACAAATTGTTTTGAACGTTCTGTTCTGCTCTCGATTCATATAATACATTTCTCGGCACGAAATTAACTTCTTGATGCTCTTGTAATTCTAACGGTGAAAATTGGGTCATCGAATCTAATATGCTTTCCATGGCAATATCACCGCAATTGAAATGGTGTTTCATCAAATCAAAATGCGGTGTCTAATCCACCTTTAGAGTTTCTCCATTACATGCGCAACATCATTTTCTACTGTCATTATGTAAGAAGTAATTGTGCAGTTGCTCATAATGATTCATTTGAATGTAATTTATTTGCAATTTGATTTTGCGTTGACGCACCAAATTGTATTCGCATTGGCTTTTTTTTCGAAGAATAAACACCAAAAGGTGACTTTTCAGAATAATTTTCGTTCTGGCATAACCGATTTGAATAGGCTTTTTGAAATGGGATTTTATATGGCTTATTGTCATTATCTGCAACAATCATGATTATGATTGCGAGCATCAAAAATCGGTTAAAATTGACTCTCAAAAGAACAAAGAACAAAAACTGATTTAATAATCCGATTACATCATCACCTCTTTTGGTATCCTATTTTGGCATCGCTTATCTCATGAGCTGTATTATTCTATGGTTCAGGCGAGATATGCAGTTTATAGAATTTGGATAACATTCTATTGGATGCTATTCATGAAATTAATACACGATTTAAATGTTGAAAAAGAGCAATCGTTTTAATCATATCATAAATTCAAGAGATCTCTTTATAGACAAATATCGTGCAGATGGTATTAAAATTGCCAATAATTTGTTGCTAATAATTTTGCAATCATAGCGTAAGCAAACTCCAAAAACCACAACTGTTCCGTCGATAATACCATGTGTAGATGTTTTACAAACATTTTTTGACGTCATGGCAATTTACCAATAGATATGATTATTATTTTAAACAGATGATTTTTTTTTTCGGTGTTTCTGCTAAAATTTATCGGCGATATAGTGCTTAAACTTATGCCATTAAATTTTATCTCACCCAGAAAAAACCCAACCAAAACAACACTCTCTGTCTATATTTCCAGCTAAATTTATACAATTAAACATATGAAATTCTGTAGAATTTTCTGATTATAAAAAAAAATACGTCGAATTGTTTTTTAGGAATATTATCGCTGAAATGGTTGTTAAATATTTGACAATAATAAGCACATCAGATGTGGCTCAGGCCGTACACTTATCTCGCATGTGAATTTTTTTCAATAAGAAAGAAAGAGACGAAATCAAAACATAGAGGTTTGCACATTGTGAGCCAATGTTGCATATTGCGAAACTTATAGCACGACAACGGTTTTCGAAAAAATCACAGCTAAAAAAAACTCAAAATTATGTCGCTGACGCCAACTGATTCGTGGCTATGGCATGAATGAGACCTTCAAAATGGAATTCAATAAATGGCTGAAGTGAGTATGTATATATTGTCGATGATAGAGAAAAGATACACACATTGATATGTGTCATATACACATGAATGAGCCAGAAATACTGCAAACCAACGGAGAACTTTTTTCGGTTTCGTATTTGCAAATGATCGAAGCAATAAGTTCAAAAAGCGGTTTAAAATGATGTAAAAAAAGAAGAAAAGAAAACATACATACAAAAATCTTCATATATCTGTGCGAGAAACACAAAAAGCAGGCAAATAACACGAATAGTCTGTCTCTTTGCATGCATAGAATCATAAATGGATGGAATAGCATGTATAGAAAACGTATCATACCGCACCGAAATCATCTGTTTTACTTGCGTTTAATGAGCGATCAACTGTTGGACGTGTGCACTGCACAACAACAGTCGAACTCGACTATACAACTGTTGAACGAAACAAAACCGAACAAGCAGTCTACAATCGGTTGGAAGTGGCGTTTAGAGCTGTGCGCGAGCGCGTCACATACATCGTCTTACATATCGCAACGAACATACCGTCCATAGACGCACACACTCCGTCCAAATCAATTTCAAACAGCGAATGAGTAAGTTTTTAGTTTCGTGGCGAAATTGGAAGCGAATGGTCACACATTCGTTCGTTACTGCACACGTTACAACTCGTTTTATTTGAACTTTTTTTCGTTCGATTTGTAACTGAAAATAAGCAAAGTACTTGTTTAAAATAATAACAGAGACCTGAAACAAATAAACCACAATTTATTATTATTTTTTTAAATTACAAGTCGAAAAATCACAGCTTCAAAGGTGAACAAAAAGAAAGAAAATTATTTATTGAATACAACGACAACACAGAATAGAAAGAAAGAAAATAGAAATGAAATCTTGAAGCAAAAAAAAGAAAAGAAAATAGACACATTTGGAAGCATGAAATACTTGTGTCAAGAGAATTGAGTGCGTATGTGAATGACTGTATTGTAGTGAGTTTTTTTCGTGTTGGAGCAACGCTAAAAAAAGCAAAGTGAGAAGAAATAGCATACACAAAGCGAGAGATATACAGCAAAAAATGAATAAAACTTGCCTGCTTTGGAATGTGTCGATCGTCACCATTTGATCGAATGTAGGTTTTCTAGACGATTGAAAGTCCCATTTTCTCTCTCTTTCTTTTTTCTAACTGTTTCTCTCTGTCTCTCTCTTTTCCCTCCACAAATAATTTATGTGTTGAAAACCATGCCATAAAGTGGCAAATCATTTCATTGGAAACATAAGAGGTTCCCTGAAATCATCAAAAACCCATCAATTTGTTTTCAATATTTAACCCAAAGATAATTAACGAATTTTTCTGCGGTTTTGTTTCGAAAAAGACACACGACCAAAAAATAAATAGTGCATCAAACGGTTGCTCGGCTATTATTATTTACGGAATACACTTTCAAAGTGCAAGCGCATGAGAAAAGAAATATTATATATGTGTGTTTTGTTGTTATTTATACGAAAAACATCGACCATCAAGTTAAATTACACATAACTAAAAGGTCGACAACATAAACTCATTTGGTGCATATATATATTTGTTTCATGAATTCATCCAAACCGTTGCAACAGAACGAAAGCGATTTGAAGAAGAACGATGCTAAAAGAATTGGAAACTATAAGAAAAGGAAAACAAAACATCACACTGTTTAGATCATACACGAATAACAACAATAAAAAAAATCAGAAGAGCCGAGAAGAGATATTGTGTTTTACTGTGTTGTACAGTGCCTGTGTGTGTGTCAGTGTGAAGATCGGTACGAAACGACAACCACATGAAATCGTAAGAAAAGATTTTTTTCCCTTTTTTGAAATGAAGAAGGGAAAAAAATACATCATCGAATACCGATTCTTCCGTGATTCTGATTCTTGGTTCTCACGATATATATATCGTGGTACTCGGTTCGGTTCGAAACGAAGGAGAGAGAAAAAAAATTGCTGCGACCAATGACCTACCATAACGTCGCATTCCAACACACGAGATAAACTCTTTCGGATCTCTTAAGATTCTTTATTTTCTGTCCTTTCATTCTCTCTTTATCGATCCGAACGAAAATGAGCACCATGGGAAAATGCTGAAAAACAAGTGTACTCAAATCGAATATGTGGAATTATTTGAAGTGATTTTATCATTTTAAATTACATCGTGAAAAGAAAATCAGTGTTTCGTACATATTTCTACAGCCATATCAGCTAGCTCTTTGCAGTGCGTGTAATTAATCAATGTGATTGAAATTGCTCACTTCATTAGCAAAATGTATGCGAAAGTGCGAATCATAAGTTTTTATTTTATTTTGTTTTTTTTTTCTGTTTTCAAAAGACATTCACAAGCTACAAAATTATCACCGTTCTTTGTTGATGCTTCAATAAGACACATTATTAATGCGAATATCATCAGAACGAAGAACGTGGGAATTAAACTTTTTGGAGGCGAGACTTGTTGACATTAACATACTGATTGAAATTGACGATGAAACCATTTTCAGTTGAAATGGCACTGCTCAAAGTTTCATTAGCAATAAATTCTCATATGTCATGAGTCTATATTTTAAATGGTATCGATTGGTATGTGCTCGATGATCAAACACATACAAATGCTAATAATAATAATAAACTTGTTTTTAAACGGAGATAATCGATCGTCTTCGTCCGGGTTTCATTTTTACTCGATGAGCAAGCACCCGTCGATCATATCATCGCGATTGAATTCATCGTTTTTGATCATCACAAAAACTAAGACAAAAACACAGTCTAGTGCAGCTTAAGAACAAAAACGGATTCATTTGGTGTAATGATGATGATGGTCGTTTCATGTCAAAGACATTTGGAAAAATGCGCAAATATTTTGAATTTGTCTCGGTGATGTGTGTTTGCAAAAAAGACCCATAATTTGTTACGGTGATGTTCAAAGACATTTTGCGAGTTCGTTTCTACTTGACTTCTCTTTTTTTTCATCTCTTCACATCTCATTAAACAATAACACAATGTAATACAAAATGGTGTGTGATCAAATCATTAGTTATAGCTCTCCCTCTTTACGTGAAGTGCACCTTCAAGACACAAACACACATACTATGGATCCACACAATCAGAGAAAAACAATTCGCAATATGCATGTAAAATTTTATGCAAGAATAATATCGCTAATAAAATTGCTCAACCATAAAAATAAAAATAGTGTGGGAATATCATGAATGTGATATGAGTGTATGTATTTTCATTATGTTGTCGAGCGTCGTCAATCGAATTTGTTGAATAAATGCACTGAGAAAATAGATGGTATCCAACGAGATGCGATAGAAAAAGAGCAAAGGTGTTTTTGTGATGAAAATAGAGAAAATTTGCTGAAAACAACTCTCGTTTTTCGTTCATTTGACTGAAAATGATTACGACATTCAATGAAAGATTAAAAATACCTTGTGTCCATTCTGAAAAAAAGAGACAGAAAGAGTCTTTTTTGAAATTTTAAATGCTTCGTCTTTAATGGGAACCCGATCTTTTTTCTTTGAGACACCGTACAAACATACATTTTTGGATTGCAAGTGTTTCTGTTTCTATTGATTCTTCTTTGATTTTGTTTGAATTTCAATCGGCTCTCATAATCCAAAATGACACAATAGAATTACCTGAATGGCAAACAAAGACAGCAATTTGAATTTATTGGTTACAGTAAGATAGACATACACACAAATCGCAGGCGATTGAATTTATCAGTTTTGAACAGATTTTTTCTTTGTTGTTGTCGGTCGGCTGTTTGATACCTGCGTTCAGGGTCAAAACTTATGCATGGTAATAATATGGCGTGAACGCGCTCGGCCCCAAATCGACATCACTTTTTTTATGTCGAAGAATTGGGCGCGTGTGTGGCTGGTTAAATGAAACCGTTGAAAAACGACTAAACACATTTTTTTCTCGCTATGCTGTTGTTGGCGTTCATTTGTTTCAAACTGTCGAGGTCGAAACAGATCATTACGCGTAAAGATTTACAATAATCTTTATGCTTGTCGGATGCCAATGAATGTTAACATTTTTGAATGGGACAAATGATTTGACGGTAGCACAAGAAATGATTAAAAAACAAAACCAAAAACTACGTTCATATCGTAAAAATATTTTACTTTAACATGTTAAACTTCGAATGGAATTTACCCATTGCAATCATTACTCATACCTATCCAGTTCAAAGAAAAAAAAAGAAACCTCAACTGCAACAGTCATATTAAATCATATATTTTTTTCCACTCTATCTCGTTACAGTGAAATCATCGGTCGGACGGATTACATCGACGACATCAGCTAAAGTCAAGTAGCAATGTTGCGACATGAACACTCTTTTGTTGTTTAATTGACCAAGTCGAATTAAGTGATTCGTGAAATTCTCTATCTCGCATTTTTGCGGAGACAGAAGAAAAAGAGAAATTTGAACAGTTAAAAAGAAAAAATTAAATATAAAAATATATACCCCAAGCAAAGAAATAAAAACAAGAAAAAAAATCAAATGATGTGCAAAAAATGGCAATCGATTACATTATTGGCGCTATTCAATTACTATCAGCGGCTGTAAATGTATTAGCGCTCGGTTCATTTTGGATTACACCAGGTCTACGAACGACAGCCAATCGCTTTGTAATCAATTTGCTCATTGTTAATATTGTGGGTTGTGTGGCTTTAACACCTGCTCTATGGCTTCACGGAGGACTCAGTCCAACTGTTTACAGTGAATCTCGACCAATTTACGATAATGAAGCGAATACATTCACAACGGTATTGCCATCATTGTCTGCCCGACGAAATGATTCAACCGTAAAACCAACCGTCTCTGTCGAAATATTTGCCACCAAGCAAATATTCGCACAGAACAATGACACTGAACACATTGCCAACATCCATGGGGACGAGCACAAACGCCAAACAAATCGAACGGCCAACAGCGATAATAATCAAACGATGACCAATAAAACTTGGTCACCAACGAAGAATGTTCAGTATTCCGACTGTACACGACTGTTCCTTCTGGATTTGGTCGCCGCTCTAGGTATGTTTATTCTTATCTCATTGTTTGTATTTAAATAAAAATAAATTTAAAAATAAATCCAGGGCTATCTCATGCTATATGTGATGAAAAATTAGAGTTGCCTTTTATCACGCGTCTGAGAAACATACATTATTGAAAATAAACAGACATTTTCATGGCATTTTAATGTCAATGCAATAATGATTAACGCGCGCACGATGATTCCATATGGTGCAGCAACAATGCGTTCAACTGAATGTGTGACAATTCTAAAAGCAATTCGCTTATTTTCTTCTTTTCCGTGGTGTAATTTAAGTCGCAAATGTAAACATACACTGTGTGTTGACAACTTTTTTCATTCTCTCTCTCTCTCTCTCTCTCTCTCTCTGTTTGTGATAACAAAATTCACACGTACTAAACGTGAATTTAAAAGACGAAGAAAAAATTAAATCATCCACTTCAAAAGTCATATGTCTGTTTTATGGCCATATTTATATTCTAATCAATTTTAAATTGAAAAAGAAAGGTGACAATCACATTCTTATCACTCGTTTTCATTCTTGATTTTGTTTAAATGTTTTTTTTTTGCATTTTTTATTCAGATTAGATTGTCCATGATCAATGTACAAGTGTCGCACGGTATGAGCGATTCATTGTTGTGTGCCATTTAGCGAATTTCCATTGTTGAACCCTGTGATTGCGTTTGTCGGCTCAGATGTTATCATTCGCATTTCAAAAATGACACTTGTGTACTTTGTAGACAATTTTTCATTCTCTCTTCTTTTAGCACTGTTTCTCTCTTCCTGAAATTCCACAATAACATTCGCTCCTTGATTTAAAGGCAAAAATAAAAAAATAAAAAAAATGATTATATATGTGTGTGGGTCGATGAGACCATCCTGTTTGTTTTGCATCACATCAAAACACATAACAGTCATTGCGTTTGTGATAATGTCATAAACAAAGCATAAAAACTGAGTAACAACGCTCCGTATGGGCGATAGAATTAAAAATATCAAGAGGAAAATTTTTGTTGTTGTTTTTGTAAAATAAAAGACGCCATCGCACTAAATAAAGTTCAGTTAAGACATACGATAGTGGCTACAAATACATTGTACATAGTTTTAAATACACACAATGTACACGCGTGCCACAAATCTCTTCCATAAGAATACATGAGACGAAAGAAAGTCGAAATGTTGATATGCACAGTAAAATTGCTATAAAATGTAATGTTATCTAGCTAACATACATACACATAAACTATATAATAGATTGGAATTTTACACACAAAACAAACGAAAATATGTGATTTTTTTTATGGCTCGTCCACGTGGTTGCAAAATTGTTTTGTTATTAAGAGCAATCGATCGATTAAGAACGAGTTTCCTGTAGACATAAAGAGAGATTTGCTCTATCTCTTTCTCTGTGTTATAGTGGAAAAATTTCACCCGTCAAGTGTTGTTGTAAGTGAAAGATTTACTCTGTTTCCTTATTGCATTTTATGCAATCGCTCTACTTGTTCCAATGCATCGTCGTTGTTTCACTTATTCATTTTTGCTCTTTGGTCGTTTTGTGTGGCGCGCCATGTCAAATTAATTTCAAATTTCATTTACTGTATGCAACAAGATACACACACAAATGCTTAATAGAGTCTTTAATAGCATGAAAATTTCATATATATTTTTCTTCTCTTGTTTCTTTGTCATTCTAGTCTACGGAACAAATGAACAGGTCGATCGAAATCATTTGTGTGTAAAAGCAAAGCACTGATTTTGTTGTCACATCAAAAAGCAAATACACATAAGCAAAGTACTTCCTCGAAACAATGAATTCAATATATAAATATAAATTCATGAAAGCGATGAGGGTTTCTTCAGTATGTATCAGCTGACTGACGACCACCTCAGTTTGAATTGAGTACCATACAAATAGTACACACTTTATGAAGAGTTGCTCATTTCACCAAAAATCCCAACATTCAACAACAACAGAAATTCGCTTGTATTTCATTTTACAAAGAAAAAATATTTAATTTTATCGTAGCACGAGCGCACGCATTTCAACAATCTTTGTTCAAATGTCATGTTTTAATGTGATATTATCTATCAGGAAACACTTCCGTTTTTTTGCGTTTAAGAATGATGTTTGCTCATAATTTCCGGAACTTTTAATCCATTTGACAATTTTTTTTTTGGCTTAGCAACTCATTTCATTCTTTCAATCGAATCAAGTCGAATACTTAGTGTGTATGAATGATAAGCCCGAGCATGGATTTTACACATTGTTCTTCGATTTGATTTGTGTGCGGCAAATTGTGGCTTTCTATTTTAAATTGGGAACCATTTTGTTTATATTGTTGTCATTTAACTTGATGTTATTAAATTGTCTAAGCATCATTCAACTCACGACCAAACGAGACCCGAACGTTATTTTTGACATAATGCCATCAGTTTGGCAGTAACGTATATGTATTTTTTTTTGCCATTGTAAAACTTCCCATTGTGATTCCGTTATTTTTTGGAGTTTGGTAAATTTTCGATTTGGTCGACCGATTTTGTTTTTTGGTTGCTCTTGCGCAAAACATATAAGTGAAAGCATACGCTAAATGAAATGCGCAAAAATTATATTGGGCGAACGCAATGAAAGAAGAGAGCACTTCACAAAAATAGTCATTCAACCATGAATAGCATTGATTTTTATTATACTCTTCCCGCTCTGTCGCTGCACTCTCAAATTCAATTGGATTTTACATATGGCGCTCACTTCGAATTTATAATTAAACTAAATACAATACATGAAGTGAGATAGAGAGAGGGAGAGAGAAGCACCGAAAAAAGTATGGAGATTCATTGTGTTTTTATTTATCGAAGCCATGAATACGAATGAATAATTTACACTGAATAAAATGAATGTATTTTTATGTTTTTCCCATCGATCTGCCAATAAGACTGATGACAGAAGTTTATGCGATCCATTTAAACTTCAAAAAAATCAATTCGTCATAAAAATAAGCCTGACACAAATTTTGATTGATTTTTCACGCATTCGTTGACGATTGTGCTCGTGTTTTATATTAAAAAACGCCAGCATATACACGTGATTATCATAAAATTGTATCATGATTTATCAGTCAAATGATGTTCAAGATAGCACTGCTGATTTAAACCAAATTGATTTATGCACGCGCATTCTACTTTGTTTATATTCATTTCGCACATAATAAAATGTGTATAATGATGTTGCAGAGAAATGCTAACATTTTGAAGTTATTAAATCAATCAATGTCTGACTTAATTGATCGGTATATAATTTGCGCGAACGAGTTGATTTTGCTTTGCGGTGCAAACGATGGAAAAATTTGCTCTTTGAGCGAACGACAGAGAGCGAGAAAGAGAGAGAAAAACGGTCAGTGTGATATGCGTCGTTGTTGATTCAAAACAAAAATATATATATTTTTTAAAAAAAACGAGATTCTGAAAGCGTATTCAGTGAAATAAATTGATGGCAATGGTCAAACGCGTAAAAATGTGACGTGATTTAAATGTTTTGAACAGGTTTCAATGATGGTTTGAGATTATGTTGAAAAGTTGTTGATAAATTCAATGCAACGTTTGCTTGCATCGCATTCAATAAGACATTTTCATGAATGTGTTATTTTGATGAATGCACACAGTTACATTCTATTTTATCTTTTCCGTTTTTAAAAAATATGTGCAAAATTTAATACACCGTTGTAAGGTAATTTATCGATGCAAAACTCATCATCACACCAACAACGTTGTGGCATCTCATTTCATCAATGAAATGATCGTTAACACAGTCTCTCTCTCTCTCTCTCTATCTCTTCCCTCACTCGTCGTTGCATGAGTTGCATTTTTGATTGCGGAATCTAAAACAGCATCAAGACAAACGGACTCGTACACACGAGTGATCTTACGCGTTCGCATGTCGGTATTCACAATTATACGTGTCGTGGGCTCGTGAATCGTAACAAGACATGTAAAACCAACTAATTTGATATTACATTCACCAAATGATTGCAAATTAATAACCAACACTCAAACTCACACAGAGAAATACAGAAATCACGAAATGTTGTAGTTTTAATAAAAAAATAATAATTCTCAAGTTGTTTGTAATGCGTGCCACACACAGTATATCGGTGACCTCTTTTGGTGTGTAAATTATTAAATAGTATGGTGCTGTTCAACTGTTATTCGAATTCCTTTCTTTCAGCTGTTTGTCTACTGCCGCACATTTTTCCACACTTTGTTGATACAATTTATTTTGTAAAAACAAATGCAGTGTATGTGTTTTGTATTTAATTGAATGCAATTTTTGTATACACTGTACACTCACTCATTATTAAACTCGCTGCTAAAAACATCAATAAATTCATCAACGCTAATAATTTTGTTTCGATTTAGAATCTCGACAGTGTGTAAAAATGTGCCTCGTGCCAAATATGACGCTTTCAATTAGTTGAAGAGCAATCAGACTGAGCTAATTAATAATAATAATATTGCTAATCGGTCATTGTTTACTGTTGACTTTGGCATTATTACTTTACAATCAATGCACACACACACCAAATATTGCTCAGTTTGCCTTTGAGAATTCCCCACCGTTTTCAAATTAGGTCATATCGGATGCAGTTCAAACAAACTTGTTAAGTGCAATAAAATGTACACATTGAATTTTGTGAAAAAGCGAGATTTAACGCTTAAAATTCTCACAGACAGCATGAGCTTCGATTTCGATTTTCCTCTACTTGAGAAATGCGTCTCTCTTTGTACTTTTGATCGAATGGAGTGTGTGTGCGAGAGAGAAAGAGAAAGAAGAGAGAGAATGAGGGAGAGCGAGAAAAATTGTTGGGTTTTTTTCAGGGTCGTCGTTGATGTGTATGCAAATGAGACGCTAAAACTTGAATCGATCATAACGACGACAAGTGAAATAAATTAATTTGGATCTTCTGCTTGAAAATGTATGCTCGTTTAAAAATTTATCATATAAATCAAGCATATTTACATTATGCTTGTTAATTTGTTTTTGTTTAATGTCATATCATTTATCTTGTTTTGAATTCTTCTTCTTTTTTTTCGCACATTTTGTATCCGGATCATTCTTGATTCTCTTAAAGTCACTCGCTCTGGATAAACTGGTTTTATTTTCCATTGTAGGAGAAGAATAAATAAATAAATAAAAAATTATACATATGTGATCATCTGAGTGAATCGTACATAGCTAATTCGATATTTATATTTCCTTTTTTAATGTTTCAGGTGGCCTTTCGGTGATGCTTGTCGTTGGCGATACTTGGTGTGCAATAACCGATCCGTTGCGCTATCATTCACGTATCTCTGGGCTAAAATCATGGATTTTAATCGTGGCTACATGGTTTGTGAGCATATTATTTTGCATTGCATCCGCATTGCGTAGAGATTGTCGTTTGATTACAACTGAAATAACAACGCAACTGCAGAAAATCACTTCCACCAACCATGATGCCGCCGTTACCATCGAATCAGATGGCCCTTCAAATCGTACAACCAGCATGGTTGGCGATTCACTGCATTTTGACGATATTTACAATTTGATTTATTCTTGCACATTTTTTGTGGTGATCATTTTGCTTCCCATTTGTCTTGTATGCGCAATGTATTGGAAGATATTCTCGGAGGCCCGTCAAAATGGCCTACGAATGAGGCAAAATGGTTCATCACCACTTTTACAAAGTGCTCTGAATTTGGCGACCGCTTCGGCTCATTTACCGCCACCAGTCAATCACCTTGATCATTCGTGCAGTGTCATTGGCGAAGAAGATTCAGACAATGCCACCGATAGCTTGGCTAGTAGTCGATCAAATGTGATTCAAGTCACATTACGTCGTAATTCAATGGCAGCAACAACAAGTCCCATTCATCATGTTAGCATCATTAAAGATTCAAATTATCGAACGGCACAAACCAAATTCCATTCATCCGCACATAGAGTAAATTATTTGAGCGGTCAACCATCACCGTCAATTCATCGTCGATACTTGGAAATTCCAAAATTCCAAGAAACCTATCATTCGAACATAAATGAGAGTAAGAATCAAATGACTGAAATGAATGGGCACGATGCATCATCGGATGAATCGTCAACGATTGAAAAACGAAGATGTTTACCATTCGAGCATCGAATTATTTACGATCCAATGAGTTCGGATGTGGTCAATGAGCTGAGACAAGTGCATTCAACGCCCGATCTCCAAAAATCGATTCAAACCGAATTGTCAATGCTGGCGGACGGACGTTGTGGTGTCAAGCATTCAAGTGATAAAAAAATTCATAGCAGCGGTAGTATTGATAAGCATGCAAGCACAGCAATACCAACACGACGCCCCTCAATTTATACACCGCCAAAAGCCCTCAGTTACATGACATCGATTCGGCATCGACTGTCGAATGCATCAAGCATATTCAAATATCGCGAAGAATCGCGGGCAGCTCGAATAAGTATTTTAGTTGTAATTATGTTCCTATTTTCATATTTTCCGTACGGTCTGTTGGTGTTACTTCAGGGTCGTGCCACATTCTTTGCCAATTCATCGTGTTTGGGCGTATTATTTTTACTCATCGCCAATTTATTTTCACCATTTATATTTGCCTATCGAAATCGTCGAGTGCGTCGCGGTGTATGTCGATTATTTGGCGTTGATGCCAAAACAAATGAACGCTTACAGAAACAACGAATGATTGCCCATGGTAATATGCGTGCAAATAGTTGTCGTGAACGAAAGCGAAAAACCAAAGTCGTTCGAATCAATCGATATTCAGCAAAATCGGCAAGTTTTAGTAGTGGTTCAATTGATCAACCAAAATACACACAAGTTCCATTAATGGAACCGAAAAACGCCGAAACCACACATCAAAAGTACAACAAACCGAAAGACTGTGCTGTTTATATGGATGATAATTTATGCAGCACAAAAATCGTTGCCATCGAGGAATGTAGCAGTGATGATGTGTCGCCATCTTCACCACTGCAACCACCACCGTCACCAATCAAAGACGACGATAATGAACAGACAAACGGATGCGTTTCATCAAATGTCATCAATTTCATTGCAAATTGTACGATAAATAGTGGTAGTAATTGTAAACTAGACCAAAGTGATTCAATGGACGATGATGCAGCTATTGCCAAATACGTCATTAATGACATTGTCAATAATAAAAATTGTGCGAACGGTGTTAAAGATATGAACCACGAACAACCAAATCGTATTCCATTTCACTTAAATCACATTAATAATAATAATAATATTAATCTTAATATGTGTAGTTTGGCGAAAAATGGAAATGTAAATAACAAGACACGCGGAATGAATTGTAATTTCGGTTCAAATACCGGTGCAAATGTCATTAAGCAAAAGATCTCATTGTTACGAAATGTTTGCAAGCAAACGACCAAAAAACGGTCACCAACCAATTGTGGCAGTCCAACAAGCCCCGATCATCAGTTTTATTTCGATCCCACCAAGCCGGTAAATGTTTAGAGTAGAAACAATGCAGATAACTTAACAAACAAAATACAAACAAACAAATATGTCCAAAAATGGTATTTATCACACTCTACTTTTTTTATTCTTTTCATCATCCATTTCTATCGACCACTTAAGTTTCATTCTTTTGACCCGCGATTATTTCGATGTCAATAAGGTCAGAATCCAAAACCAAGAGATTTTATTCTATTTTAAATGCAAACACAAACTAATTGAGCAAGTAAACGATGAAATAAAATGACTCTCATGATGCAAATGAAATGGGGGCACCGGAATTTATGTTATGTAGACCGCGATTATTGTGAAAAAAATCGACTGAAATTGATTAATTTGTAATTTTAAAATTATAATTGTAGAAAAGTTGACAAAAAACCTGTGTCGTGTTATCTACTTCTTTGCATCGAAAGCATATACCAGATTTAGACTTGATTCGCGGTGAACAAAAATAGATTAGTCTAATATTTTGATTGTATGAAGAAAAAAAAAACAAAGCTCAAAATAAATGATTAGTTGGAAATAGACGGTACAAAGAAATGAAAAAAAAAATACCTTTTTCGGTGTGAGGTTAATAATATTATGTAGCAAAAAAAATATCGGTAATGGTTTAACCTCCGATGCTCTTAGCATTACATATCAATCAGTCGACAACAGAAACTCACACAAAAAAATGGCAGACGGCATTTTTTTTCTTTTTCGCTCTAATACACGCTGATTGATCCCCGTGTCGTTTGAGTCAAATTATTAGGCGTATACAGCCAAAACAACAAGAACCTCCCTCAGTATTTGTTTAAGAGTGAATGAGAAAAAACTACGCCAACAAAAATCAACCGGTCAAACCTGTCTAAATTTATTAATGAATTTGTTGTGTTTGTTTCGAATCGAGTATTATAATGCTAAAATGTTGGCAATTGTGTTCATTTCTTTCTAACAAAACAAAATATGAAACTAATAATAAGTACGTGAACCGTTGTTGCTGCTGCCACAAAATGTGTTGTAGTTAGTGATGTTGGCTGATTGACACAATGTGACAAGGAAATACATTTTGGCTTTGGCAATTTGTTTCAGACATTTCAGAGATGAAACATTTTAGATGTACAACAAAAAAAAATAAACTTTTTTACATAGTTTTTTCGCCATTCTTTTGTTGTCGATGTTACATCTGTCAGTGAATGCTATTTTATTTAAAATAGACAACTTTTAATTAGAATAATGGATAAAAGCACATGAAATAACATGGCAAATTATGAATGGCGACGCGATCTGCATGACTTGTGTGTTCCGTGTGCGTCATATTGTAAATAGGTCTAACTGTAAATGAATCACGATGGTAGTTTGTGCCCGGCAAACAGCCAATTTCATTTTGTGTGTCAAATTTTTGAAGAAAATTCGTCTAGGGAACAGTCAGTAGCCGTAAAAATAATAGTTTTTAATAAGGCTCATTACATCGTTAGCAAAAATTCAATGGTTTCAAAGTGGAAAGAAACAAGAGCTTCGTAGTTATAATCTGATTTGTAAACATAATTAAATCATACCAAAATTGAATAATCCTTTGATAGTGAGTGCCAGTCATTTTCTATGTGTATTTCCTCCCGCTCTATCTCTCCCTCACAAACACACATACACTCACATACACATACACTCCATGTAAATGTACGCTCTACCAAATGTTAGCTTTACACTGAACAAATCCGAGTGCATCCAACATATGAATTTTTCAAAGACATTTTTAAAGTGAGAAAAAAAGCTATTTTTCAACAAAAACAAGTACACACAACACTTCATGTTCATGAACAATATCAAAACGTACAAATATACACACATTTTAAACTAAATATTATTGTCTATTACATTTTAAAGTAAATGGAAACAAAAACAAATGTTGAATAGAAAGAAATACTATTTTATCTACTTTATGGAACAGATGGAATTATAAATACCATAGAATGCCTAAAAATGATTGTGATAATGGATATGAAACAAGAGAAACATAAATATTGATGGAAAATTTAAAATAACTTTATATTAAATATTAAATATATCAAATCTTTTAGGAATCTATCAATGTTGAACAAGAAAATGTTCACTTAAATGTTGTTCAAGATAATTCAACAAAGAAAAATCAAAAAATTATCAAACTCAAACGATTGTATTTTTCAATAGAAAACAAACAAAAAAGAAAACAAATTCAAGTGCAGGTAAAACGCAAAAAAGTGATTTTCAAAAGATATTACGAACACATACACACACATTTGCACAGAGAAAACCACCACAAAGAAGAAAAAAATGACTTTTAAAGATTGTAAATAAACGAATCATTGCTGCATGATTTTCGATCATTATTTAATTTATAGAGTAGTTTTATGCTCGACATTTTTTAGTTTTTATTTCTCTTAATTTGTATTTGCTCTTTTTTAATTGTTTTAATTGATATTACTCTATAAGGAACGAAATTGTCTTAGCTAATTTATATATTCTAAGATTAATTTGAATGTAAGATGGAAAAGAATTTATTTATTTTATGTTTATTACTTCATTTTGTACGATTTTGATTTTTTTTTTTTTCTTCAAATGAATTCAATAACAAACAACAAAATATTGCACAAACAACAAAATATTGCACAAACATTGAACTTTTTTTGGTTTTTATTTCTCAATGGCCTAATTTCTAAGTTTTTCGATTCTTTTTTTTCAGTTTGTTTATTGAGATGGTGAGTAAAGATGTGAACTTTTGAGACAATTATTTAAAAAAAAAACTAAGAATATCTTACGAATGAATTTATTCATGGAAAATTATTAGATTTTTCACAGTCAAGAAGATTTTGAAACTACTTATATCCACCAAACCCAAAAGGGTTGGATTTTTTTCATTATAAATGACATAGATATGTCTATTAATTCCAATATTCAGCTTGGCTAAATTCGAATCACCGTTTTGTTTTATTTCAACTCTATGTAAATAAAAGCGATAAAAAAAGTTAATAATTTTTTTTAAATATTAGCTTTCATTGCTTCTATAGTCATTTCCGTTTTGTACAGAAGAAAGCTTAAAATCGAAATTGAGACGACGGATGCCAAAAAACCCAAAGCACGTGCTTACTATATTGATTGTCTGTAAAGTATTACAATATTGCCGATGGTTTTTTAGAAAAGCAAGTCGGTCAAAAATCAATAAAGTCATCGTTTGATTCATGTTCGCAAAGGGAAATAGCAACAGATCTATTTCATCAGTCCCAATGGGATTAAAAGTGTGATTTTCAATGGCACGTGGGTGTAAAAAAGAGAGCTTCGATATCAATATAAATTTTATAAGTAAGGGAGGGAAAAAGTAATTTAAAATGATTCCGTATTTCCATGAGAGAAAAAGAAAACAAAGCGGCCAACAGTTAATCACATTAAGCTCTCGCTAATCACTATACTGTACTTAGAAATACAAATATAGGAAAAAACATAATCTGGTAGCTTTATAGTTTCCGAGAAACCAATGAAACTTAGAAAAGAAAAGTTTAACGTGTGCATGAATAAAATGGTTCTATTTTTAAAAACAGTTGTCTTAGAAATAAGAAAAATTTGGATTCAAATAGCTAAACAATAAACCAAATGACTTTTCCTCCTAAATAGTGAAATAATCCTCTATTTACTGTTGAATGTAAAACTGTGTCAACACAGGCAATTTAAATTCAAATCAAATAAAACTGAATCTATATATATAATTCTCGATGTGTATTTTGTGTAAATAAATGCCAATTTGTCAGTGACACACAACAAAGCGCTTTAAAATTGTGTTTGACTTTCTTCTCTATTTGTCGATTTAATTTTGTAACAGAGATTCTTTTCAATAATTAGAATTCTCATTGGATTTTTTCAAAACACGAACACCATTCATCAAAAAATTAAATAAAGCAGCACTTTGTGAAGAATGTTCACTTATGGTAAGATATAAGGTACGTTCAGAAATTCAATATTTGAATTATAGAGTATTTTTGCAGGTGTAGTCTACGAAATATCAATTTTCAACTAAAAATGTTGACACAGCCGAATTGAAGTAATTTTTTCAATAATCGTTTTGAAATGTTTTTATTAGAATGCTGAATTTTATTGAAAAATATGCACAAATAATTTAAACACAAACTGGTCTTCCGGGTGAGCCTCTTGCTCTGAGGCCAAACGCCATATAAACTTTGCCGCTGTCTTATAAAAGTGTAATATTCTCTGTTTCTCCCATTAAAAATATCGTTATTTTTGCCACCCCAAGCGACTGAACCTGAAGCAATAATGTTAATCTAGTTGATATTTTATAAATTTGAACAATTTCTTTTTACTAACCGATAACTTGTGCCGGTAAATGAATCACTTTCACGACTTTTCCGGTCCTAGAATTGATAAGATCTTGAGTGTTTTTTTTTCGAAAACCTTAAGCAAAAATTTACTTTGAATTAATTTTCAATACAGCGCCGCCATAATACAGAGCAACATAAATACATCCTTCATCATCCGTGGTCATTCCAAGTGGAAGAGTACTATTGGCGTATGGATTATTTGTATCATCAAAACATCCTGATCCTGGATAAGAAAACACTACACGTTCTTTGCCTAATTCACATTCCAAACCAAATGATTATTTAAAAAAAAAATCAAGATTTTCCTGTTATCTTAAGTTAGAGAATATCAGAAAAAAGCTTACAAACTTTGCCAGTTTTTCCATCATAGTCATATGCTGAAATCTGCTTATTACATGTATCGCCATTGGGACTCCAATCAAAGCCTCCCGAAACTTTAAGATCGGAAATTAGCTGCTTGACACCTTTGCATTTGTCATAGCGATAAAGTAACCCAAATGTCGGCGACGTATCACCGCACATTCCCGTACGATATGTTCCACCATAAAATTTACACTGCGGCGATGCTTTGCCAACGAGTAAGTTATTTTTTTTAAGGGCGGGCGATGAATCCACTTCAAACAATGCGTCTTGAAGTATGATCAACTCCATTCCATTCGAATTTTGTCGCTACAAGTTGATTAAAATGATTACCCACTATAAATTGATCGCACTTATGTTTCACCGGTATTATAAATGAGGGCGTTACTATGCCTGGTAAGTGTACTTCATAAATCGCTTGCGATTCTAAGTCATAGTTGATAATTGTTCCGTTGGTTAAATCAATAAATAAAAGCCTATTCCGTGGTGCATCGTAATATGGTGAATGCGGTTTAATCCAACGTTTCGACGAAATTGCTTTTAATTTATAGCAAATCTGAAATTTGAGTTTGATTTTTTTTCTTACTTATTGGAGATTTTTTAGCAGATTTTGTATTTTTTTCCTTCAAATTATTGTTAATTTAAATTCAAAGTCACTTACCGCACAATTTATGAAAAATATAAGCACCAAAATTGATTTGTTGTACATTTTTATTAAAGAACTGAAGCAAATCAATTGTTCAGCACTTGCTTAAATACTCTGTTCAAATTCGGGTCAAAATATATTTACTTTCACGGATAACGTTTACTTTCTTCCGAAGAGCATGACATAATCTATAAAATCGTCGCATCAATCGAGGTTTTTTTTTTGTGTTCAATGCTAAATGAATTTAATTTTTTGTTTATTTTGTATTCAAATAAACTCAATTCACAAAAGAAATATCACCTTAACTCTTTGTATACATTTTTCGGCTTTTCGACAGATTTTCAATCACACTCCTTTATGGACTTTGAATTTGCACTGATTGAGTTAATCTTTAATTTACAGTTGGAGTGACTGCAAATAAAGGCGATACTTCCGAAAGACTTGTGATGAGAGTTTCATAAAATAACATTGAAATTATTTGTAAAATATGAAAAGGGCGATAATTGTGCATTCTTTATTTCCAAGTATTATTAAAAGTCTCTGATTCGCTTGATAAAATTCTTCTTTATTTGATTAAATATATTAATGAAAATTTGATCTCAAACATTAGGCATTTTAGAGTAAAAAAGGCGATAATTAAATATTAACATTTTATCGTCCTTTGCGAATAGCTTGTACGCTGTCAGTGTGGATGATGCTAACCGGGACGCTTGTCATATTCGGTGTTAGGAATTGGCTCAGTTGGTCGACTCCTTGCCGCGGCAATCTGTCGAATGGATATCCCATCGCTTTACGGTCAGGATACAGTCGATCACGAAGTCCACAGAATACAGGAGCTTCGTTGCAAATTCCCACCAAATCCTGATCAACTCGATCATCCTGGTAGTTTGAAACCATTACAAATAGATCGCATGGCAATCCAACGCCTGACTTTCCTTTTGGAATTAACATGTGCTGGGAAAAAATATATTATTATTTAAGTAAGTTAAGAAATTACGTAAATAAAAAAAAGATATACCTGAGGCCATCCACAGCCACAGAAAATAAAATCTTGCTCCTCCTGAGTACCAGCTGCTGGCCTATTTGTATCCAAATCACGGAAAGTTCGTTCAAACGCAACGGTGACTGATGATTCTGTTGAAGTTCTTCGAATTGCATTATCGCCCGGTTGTACTGTTCGGAAGAGAAATGCATTCAAAATACGAAAAACAAGTGACATGATTTTTTTAAGATTAAAAATACATACATGCAACGGTGAATTTATCCAGTTCACACATCAAAAGACGTTGATCTCTCAAAAACATTCGTGTGCCTCTTTCATCGTTCTGTGGTGCAAGGAAGATTCGAACGGTTCCCATCGCCGGCGCTCCAGTTGAATTGTTAATGTTGATATTGTATGTGAAATCAGCGTTTTGCAAATGCGTGAAACGTGCAAATACATTGCCGCGTGGAACGAAATCAAGGCCGCGCGACAAATCGATGTCAGTTTGTTGCCAGAATGTTTGGAATGTATTAGCTGCGCCACGATTTGGTTGTACCTGCACACTATTTAGTTGAATGCCTTGGAAGTTCAATTGTTGGGTCGTATACTATAAAAATTTATTTTGAATCAGTTGAATATTGAAAGTAAAATAAAAAAAAACTTATTGTTACCGGTGTTAATCGCTGTTTGTGCTCTTGGAACAAATCATCGACATATGCATGCAATCGATAGAATACGGGATCTCTTAAATCGACCGCAGGATCGCCAATTGTAGCAAATGTCTCGAGATGACGAGAGTCTGGGTCATGAATAAGGCCCAAGGCAACGTGCAACATATTATGCAAATCGCCATAGAAATCTCGATTCACCGATAGTGTGGATGATTCCAACAAATTGCCCAGAATATCGATGCCAGTGGCTTCATCGAGTTGAATTTGATTGCCACGCGGATCTTGAACAAAACCTTGATGACATGCTTGTACGAATCGTGCATCCCATCGCTCCAAATCGGCGATATCAAATCTTAATTGCTCCAAATCACGATTCAAATCTGACATCTTCATATTTGGAGAACGGGATGGCCAAGCACGCGAAGAGACCAACGAATCCATCTAAATGTTCATAAAAATATTAAATTAAATGAAATAAAATAAAAACGACATAATTTACTTTGGGAAAATAGGCCTCGGGTATAGGATCTCTGAAGTTATTCAAACGCTGAACACGCGGCAAATCGTTGCTAAATCGTTCAAAATTGTAACGTGCTTGAATCTAAAATCGAAAACAAATATTATGGGTATGTAACAGATGTTTTACTGGAATGATTCAATTCAAAACACCTGCTGATGCATATAGTAGAAAAGTTCACCACGACGATCCTTTCGGACAATTTGATCTGGACCATCAGATGGAAAAACCAAATGCCAATGCCAATGATGAATATTAAGGCCAATATCCTCACGGAAATACCACAATCTAAAAATGTAATTCAGCTTCAAAACCCGTCGAAAAATCAAAGAAAAGACTTACCTATGCTCTGGCTCAAGATCCGATGCAGTATAATCTTTTGGAATGGTAATTGGTTGACGTAGATCTTCCGTTACAACTGTAGCTTCTTCTCGTGCACGACCAATCACCTTGGAATCGATGAATTTATCGGGAAAAACCTCAAACAACAATGGCATATCAACATTTTTCGTATCGGGACGATGAAGTAATGCAACCGACAAAGCGTAGTTAAACAAAAGCGGATTGAGACGATCTCTAGCATAAACGGCAACCGTTTGTAAATCATCAACGCTTCTTAATCCTATCAATCGTTCGAAAACAGAAGAAATTTATTTAAATAAAAAAATCAATAAAAAAATGTTTCTAACCTATAAAGACGCTGATGAGATGAGTGGCCAGCTTTCGGTGGTATGGAATGAGCAACGAGAATGGTGCTTTGCGATCCAACTGCATGGGCACACTTAAATTTGGTATGGCAATATTTGCGCGGACTGGAACACGTACGGTGCTTTCTTCGCCTAATCGATCTTGGACCCGAACTTGAATATCAGCATTATTCTTATAGCGATCGGTCAACAACTGATTTGGCACCTCAAACAATGCATTGTTCTTGCCTTTCTCGTAAAAAACCGGCTCGAGGGGTCGATCTAATAGCAACGCCAAGTTTCGTTTATTGGCTGACATTTTTTTTGTTGAATTTACTTGGAGCGAACGAATTTCGTTTGAATAAAGTATTTTCTTCAGTTGACTGAAAAAAATTCACTGATACTTGATTACTGAATTCTTGCCGTCTTTTATACAAAATAAATTTGGGCGATAACATTTCGCATTCTAACCACTTTCTTGTGGCAAATCAAAGGAAAACCATACATTGCAAATGATTTTTTTATGGATTATGTTCATTTTTACACTCAACATGATAAATAAACAAAATAAATGCAACGGAAATTAGAGTAACTGATTATTTTTTTCGCAAACTGCAACCGCAATTAAATTCCGTTTTTTTGTGTAACAATCATATTTTGTGGCTGAACTTGAATATGATTCAATATCGTGTGAATTTGTGCTTTAAAGCAATTGTTTTTTGTGCTTTGATCTTGAATCCATTCATCGAAACATTAAGTATAAAGTCGAAATTTATTTACCTTGTTATTTTTCGCATCTCACTGGATTTTTTCAATTCTCATTTTATTGAAACCATGAATTATATAGATCATATCAATTTTATTTGATACATGAAAATTAATGTTAGTCAACATTGTTTTGAGCCAATCAATTATGATTCCACATCGGCAAAGTTTTTAGTCAAAATCAAATTTTTATCACTAAAATTAAAATCAAAATTCAGACGGCGGATGCCAAAAAACCCAAAGCACGTGCTTACTATATTGATTGTCTGAAAAGTATTACAATATTGCCGTTGGTTTTTTAGAAAAGCAAGTCGGTCAAAAATCAATAAAGTCATCGTTTGATTCATGTTCGCAAAGGGAAATAGCAACAGATCTATTTCATCAGTCCCAATGGGATTAAAAGTGTGATTTTCAATGGCACGTGGGTATAAAAAAGAGAGCCTCGATATCAATATATATTTTATAAGCAAGGGAGGGAAAAAGTAATTTAAAATGATTCCGTATTTCCATGAGAGAAAAAGAAAACAAAGCGGCCAACAGTTAATCACATTAAGCTCTCGCTAATCACTATACTGTACTTAGAAATACAAATATAGAAAAAAAACATAATCTGGTAGCTTTATAGTTTCCGAGAAACCAATGAAACTTAGAAAAGAAAAAGTTTAACGTGTGCATGAATAAAATGGTTCTATTTTTAAAAACAATTGTCTTAGAAATAAGAAAAATTTGGATTCAAATAGCTAAACAATAAACCAAATGACTTTTCCTCCTAAATAGTCAAATAATCCTCTATTTACTGTTGAATGTAAAACTGTGTCAACACAACCAATTTAAATTCAAATCAAATAAAACTGAATCTATATATATATTTCTCGATGTGTATTTTGTGTAGATAAATGCCAATTTGTCAGTGACACACAACAAAGCGCTTTAAAATTATGTTTGTCTTTCTTCTCTATTTGTCGATTTAATTTTGTAACAGACATGGTTTTCAATAATTAGAATTCCCGGTGAGTAAGCGGCACACAGGTGAATGTAATCAACATTGTCTTATTGTACATTTGAGTGAAGCGTTGCGCTGCTATCCACCAAACCATTTCGATCTGATGTGACATGTCATAGTTGTTGTGAGCAACAAGTGTTGTCATATGTTACACGTTACTTGTTTGCCGAGCACATGTTTATCGTTCGGGCGAAAGTGTTACTGTCAAAGTATGTACGCGCACATGTCAAAGCTGTCATTTCACATCGTGGACAAATAAAAACACACATCATCTTTTGTGTTTTTCTTTGTTGTCGATCCAAGCTACTCCCATCGGGGTAGGTCAATTTACAACGCTTTTAGTGAAATTAAAAAAAAACACAAAGTTGCAAATTAAACTTAATTAAAAAAAATTCTGTTAAAATGTCAAATTTACGTGAAACATACAACTGGATCGATGAGTTCTGTGATAAAAAACTTACACTACCACCAGCCACCAATCGCTATATTGAAATTGTCTTTGATGACGAGGTGAAAGCACTTTACATGTTATATTTCTTTTTTTTTATTTTGTTTGTGTCTCAAGTTCGCATTTATATTAATAAATTGGCGCAATTCCCATTTTGCATGCAGAAATGTGGTGAAAACAAGGCTCCAGAGCACGCACAGTTTAGAACAACATTACCGTTTGCACGTACCGAATGCTTTGCAGCTAATTTCATTGATGTAAAACAACTAATCAACAATGATGGCGATGAATCGATAAAAAATGTATATGAGCTCACGCTGCAAATCAAGGTTTGTATCACATGGCGGAAGATAAATTCTGAACTTAAAAATATGAATTGAATTGTTAACTATTATGTTTCATTTGTTTTTTTTAGAATAAAACCATTGACTACTTGCCAGGAGACACTGTTGGAATTTTGGCTCAAAATAGTGACGAAGACATAAATAAAATCTTTCAAAATAATTCAGAGCTTAAAGCCAAATCCCATGAATCGCTGCATCTGAAATTGTTTACCGAAAAGGCAGAACAAAAGAAAGTGCCAAAATTGCCAATTTATTTGCCAGTTTGTAAAACAACACTCTATCAATTGTTTCAAGAGTGTGTCGATTTGTATGCATTTCCAAAGAAAACATTTCTTGCGGCTCTGGTTAACTACAACTGTTTGAATAATGTTACTGAACGACGTTTTCTCGAAATATTAGCTTCACGCGAAGGTTCTTCTTTGTACGCCACTGAAATTCTACAAAGACAAACAACGTTCTACATGCTGCTCAATCGACTTCAATCGTGGAGTTTCACCGTCGAAAATGTTGGCATTTTATTTGAACATTTACCACGTTTAATGCCAAGACCATATTCAATTTCAAATAGTCCAATTGCCGTGTCGACATCAGTGTATGATCAAAATTCAACTATTTTAAAGATTATTTTCTCGCTAAATAGTCCACCCGGCATAACGACAAGCATGCTGCAACAATTGATATTCAAATTCGAAGTAGAACGCACACTCGATAGCAGCAATCAGTTTGTAAATATTTATTGGCGTCAAAGCAATCGCTTTCAATTGACCGACGAAGATTTAGAAAGACCATTGATTATGATTGCAATAGGAACAGGCGTCGCACCGTTCATTGGATTTTTGGAACATATTCAGGAACATAGAAAGAGGAATTGCACATCAAAAATACCATTTACTTGGCTCATTTTTGGGAGTCGTCATAAGATGAAGCAACTATGTGAACATAAATTGAATGAATTTCTTCAAAATGGAACACTTTCAAAGCTTAGCGAGTGTTTTTCACGAGATCCGAATTCAAACATGAAATACGTTCAAGATTGTGTTCGAAATGAAGACATGCAGATTGCCAACTTTTTGGTGTCAGATGATGAAAATAGAAGCGGTGGTAAGATTTTCGTTTGTGGCAATAAAAAAATGTCAACAGATGTACGGGCTGCCATTGAAGAGAGTCTTTTAAAGACCGATGTATGCAGTGCAACCGACGATGCCAAACAAATAATTAATGAAATGATTAAAAGCGGACAATATATCGAAGATATATGGATTTAATACACTCAAAGTTTTGACTACTCAAAATATACGTTTTCCTTATTTATTGATAAAAACGATATTGCTTTTCTTACTAACATTTTTTATACAAATAAAAAACCAGTCAATATCTCGTTTAAATTTATACAATAGTTATTTGAATGCATCGAATAAATGTTCAGCGGTGGCTTTGATTTCATCAAAACCCTCACATTGGTCTAACATATTGTGCGATATTACTGCTTCTCCATAGTGAGCGCCACATAATGCACCAGACATACTTGCGATGGTATTTGAATGTCCGCCCAATTGTATCGCATACTCAACGACTTGTCGAAAAGGATTCATCTAGAGATGAGAAAAAAGTTCATTTTAATAAAAAAAAAATTGAAAATTAGCTTAACAGATGTACAAGATTAAGCCTACATTGTTTTTGTGTTTTACGCTGCGTAAAAAGCAATAGATAGCTGTTGGTACTGAAAATATTGCTTGTTCTGAATGTCCAAGAACGTTAACGATCCGCTCTTCTGACGGATTATCGACATTAAGCAGTTTCTTGACTCCATTAATTTGTTCTTCAAACAAACGGTCATCACCCTTTGAAGAGTTTAATTTCTTCGAAATGTGGGAAAGAAAATTATCGATATCCAAATTATTTTTACTTTCAATGAGGGCACCAATTGCATTTGCTAGAAGAATAGCACCGGTCACTGCCATTTCATCGTTTGAATGGGTTAAAGCGGCTGCCTTACGAATTTCATCATTTAAATTTAGCATTTTATTTTTTGTGCAGACAAGTGCAATCGGAGCAATGAACATGGCACAGCCATTATCACCCGAATTACTGTTCAATACTTCTTTGGCTGGATATAAAACATCATCAAAATTTGAATGTTTAAGCTTTGCAAAAATTTCAATGGTCGATGCATTAAATCCACGATAGACATTCCGATAAAATTCATCCACATAATTTATGGCCAAATTTTTTTGATCTGTTTTTTGAAAGAAATTTCGAACGAATAAATGTAATTGCTTTAAGATTCAAAATAAAAATAAATTTATACCTATTTGTTTACACGATTCAATTGTTCGGGCAACGGCCAGAGTCAAGGCGGTGTCATCTGTGTACAGTTTACGAATACCTAAAAATAAATCAATTTAAATAGATTTGTTTGTTGTTTTTTTTTCGTTCACTTTGTTGTTCTTTTTACCTTTCTTTCCAGGCTCATTTTCGAAGCTATCGAGGAACTTGCGTAGCACCAACCTTGATCCTTTTGGTAAAATTGAACTCTCTTGAAACAATTGACCAAAACAATCGCCTACTAAAAGTCCATAAAGTGTTCCACGAAATTTTTCAATCATTCTACTCTTTTCGAACAAACACATTCAGCAATGAAAAAAAAAATAGAAAAATATTATTCCCGGCTATTTACAATTTGTGTGTGTGATAATACTGTCAAATGATTTCGTCTAAACGCATTCATTGAGAATGGAACGCACCCATTGTTGATTTGACAGCACTTGTCGACGCTATGTCATGACAGAATTATTATGTATAACAAAAGCCGAATTGTTTGACTACAATACACGTTTATTGATGAATAAAATCCATTTTATTTATTATTTTTCCTCATTTTGGAATGTAAGAGCAGTAAAATTGTAAACTTTGATCGTGTTTATGTATAAAGACATAAATTGGAATGAAGATGTTGAACTCATCAAAGTGGTGTAATTAGGTGTCGAATAATCAACACCTTTCTCAAGACAACACTAGTTTCGGTTCTTGAGACCATAAAATCTCATTAGGTGATTACCATTCCAGAGTTTACTTCTTTGAATCGTGCACCCTCATCGAATCATTCAATCGACTACACTCGATAAGTTCACATCGTACAAGGAATGCCCTTAGACTTTTCATTTACCAAACAACTGTTGTGTGTTGTGTTTGTGTTGTTAATCATCTATTGGTTGAAATACGGTTTTCCATTTGATAGTGACGATTTTTAAAAACGAAAATTTGGAAAGAACGTGTGCGATTTTATTTCATTTAAATTTTACATTAAACGCGCCAGAAAAAATGACACGAAAAGTTTCATACTTTTATCATCCTGATGTGGGAAACTTCCATTATGGTCCGGGTCATCCCATGAAACCGCATCGACTATCGGTATGTATTGAAAAACTTCAAACTGCTTGAAAAAAAGTAAATAAAAAACACTTTTTATTGTATTTTAACTAAAAAAAACTACTTTTCTTTTTATTATAGATGACGCACAGCTTGGTGATGAATTATGGCCTGCATAAAAAGATGAAAATCTACCGTCCATACAAGTAATACAAAACTCAATCATATTTATGACCACGACAATTCTAATTATATACATTTTCTGTCATTTCAGGGCTAGCGCACAGGACATGCTTCGATTCCATAGCGAAGAATATGTTGAATTTTTGCAAAGAGTCACACCACAAAACATACAAGCCGTTGGCTATACAAAGTAATTGACATTTTCTTAATGTAACCATTTTCTATTTAAAATGTTCGCCAAACTAACACACATTTGTTAATTTGTTTCAGGTATTTGTCTCATTTCTCGGTCGGTGACGACTGTCCCGTTTTCGATGGTCTATTTGACTTTTGCTCTTTGGTAAGAATTCATTGGCATTATTTCATGGCATATATGTTTCTAATTTTATTTTAAATAATCTCTAGTATACCGGTGCATCATTAGAAGGCGCTCAAAAATTGAATCATGAACACAGCGATATTTGTATAAATTGGTCAGGTGGTTTGCATCATGCGAAAAAATTCGAAGCATCAGGTAAAATGATTTATTTTGAAATCGAAAAAAATAAATTAAAAAAATGCTAAATTTCGTTTTAAATTCATCAGGTTTCTGTTATGTAAACGATATCGTAATCGGAATATTGGAACTGTTAAAGTATCATCCACGTGTTTTGTACATTGACATCGATGTGCATCACGGCGACGGCGTTCAAGAGGCATTCTACCTAACAGATCGCGTGATGACCGTTTCATTTCACAAATATGGAAATTGGTTTTTCCCGGGCACAGGTGATATGTATGAAATTGGTGCTGAATCGGGTCGTTATTATTCAGTGAATGTACCGCTAAAAGAGGGAATTGACGATCAAAGTTACTATCAAGTATTCAAGCCAGTTATATCAAATGTTATGGAATTCTATCGACCGACAGCAATTGTACTGCAATGCGGGGCCGACTCTTTGGCCGGCGATCGATTGGGTTGTTTTTCACTCAGTAGCAAAGGTCATGGTGAATGTGTTAATTTTGTAAAAGATTTTAATGTACCAACACTTGTGGTTGGCGGCGGTGGATACACACCGCGAAATGTGGCAAGATGTTGGGTATACGAAACATCATTGCTTGTCGACGAGCAAATTTCAAATGAAATTCCAATGAATGATTATTTGGAATTTTTCGCACCCGATTTTACATTGCATCCAGAGATTCCATCACGACAGGAGAATGCCAATAGTAAACAATATCTTGAAATGATAAATCGTTATGTGTATGATAATTTGAAGATGTGTCAGCATGCCCCAAGCGTTCAAATGTTTCATATTCCGGAAGATGCCTTGCCACCAGAAGACGAACGAACCCAAGATGAACCAGACCCAGATATTCGAATCAGTCAATCGGATGAAGATCGCATGGTTGAACCCCGAAATGAATTTTACGACGGTGATCAAGACAATGACAAAATGGAAACGGAAACATAATTTTAATTAACTCATTTTAATTAAACTAATAAAATGGACTCTTTTTCGAGCATTATTCGCATTTTTGATTTGTATCATCAAGATTTAAAATCGTTTTCTATTTGTTTTTTTAATCACATATGTACGGCTGGTAATAAAAGCGACTTTAAGCAAAAAAAATCTTAAAAGTGTCTCATAATTTGTACAGGATTTACATAAGATGGAGACGGTTTAAAAAAACTTAAAGTCACTTTTATTCTCAGCCGATCATATAAGGTTGCAGCTATGAACTTGAAATGTATTTTTTCGGATCCCATAAAAATGATATATGTATGGAAATCGAGAGACGAGCCCAAATAGAACACTATTTGTTTATCACACAAGCGAACGAAATACGAATATTTATTTCACATCGTTTCGAAAATAAATCCCAAATTAACAATTTCCATTCCACAGTGTATTGCCATTGACAGCTGTCAGTTTTGTGCATCTTTTAAGATACATGGCCCATCAATTTCAGAAATTGGAAATTTTCTCCTGATTTGCTATGGTTTTTTGAGCTAAATGTTTCAAATGCCATTAGAGACTGTTTCTCCGAGCAATATATGTATGGAGGAGCGCTTTAAGGAGTACCGAGGAGCAGAGCTTCCCCTCAGTGAGGATCAAAATATAAAAAAGTATGAGTAAAAAAATAAATTTAATAACTACCCATCAATCGTAGTAACAGGCGATAACCAAAGTGAAGCAACGTTTTGAATCATATAACTACCAACAATTGCGAAATGGAGACGCCCGGACATTTTTAAATAAACAAAAAAATCGAAAATTTATTTTTTTTTATTTTTATTTTTTTAGTTGGTTATTTAGTTATTAATAATAATTTAATAATTAAATGAACAATTCACAAATTTATCAATTCTTATTCAAGTAAATGTATTTTTCTGTCTTTGTTAATTTCCAAACATTATTTAGACGGCTTTGCAATTTTTCATCACGCCCAAAATGAATGAAAAATATTTTTTTTAGTGATTTGCATTTTTTGATATAGCTAATAGCTTCATCAGTTGTTAATCCTCCATGAAAAACCCCCAATTCTGTAATTGTCGGCAACGATATTGCAAGTCTTGAAATCAGCTCATTCCTCAAAATATCTTCAAGGTATCCGTGCAATTGAATTTTTTTGATCATCGGATGTTTATCAATGAAATCATAGAAATTTTGAACCATCTGTTTTTCCAAATGAATGGATAACGACTCGAGTTTGTCAAATGCAAATGGTAATATGACTGCACCACGAGCATCGTATATTGATCCTATTGTCGATCGAATATTGAAATGTTTTATATTCGCAAAGAACAACGTTTCGTTATTGAAATTTTCAAAAAAATTGTGGCGTCCATTAATTTCAAGAATTTCCAGATTTTGAAGATTTTCAATTGCGTTTTGGAAAAAGTTTGCTTTCAAGTGTTTTCTGTCAAAATTGGTAAGTCGAAATGTTTTTATTTGTGGATTTAAACGAAACATTGTATTATAATTTTCAAAACCATAAGTATCATCTCTTAATGCAATCATGTAAAGTTCGAAATGCTCCAAGTGTGGAAAATGATGTGCAAAGTATGCGCTCTCCGACCAACGATGGCGAAAAGGAAAACCAAATCGAATTTTCAATTTTTTCACCCTTGGAAAAAGTCGTTTGATCCAATCGTCTCCAACATCGAAATAGGAATTACTAACCAGTAGTTTTTCAACTCGTGTGAATGGTTTTGTTAAAATATTCAAGCCACCTTTTGGACATCGTTGGAAAATAATCTTAGTTAATGAGTCAGTACAATATTCATGTATATAACTTAAAATATGTTGATCACATTCATTGAGATGGCTTATTTCGCCATTGATTACTGGTTCGAAGTGAACTTGTATTGCAGCAATTTGCGGTCCAAAACAACGCAAAATCTGAAGACATGATTTTAAATCATTGATATTGATGCATTCCTGGTCACGGGTTCTTCTGCCGTGACCTTTGCGATCCGTTTTAAATATTATTAATCGACTTGGTGAAATGTGCACTTTCTCGAATATTATCTTTTTTTGCTGATATTTTCGCACGAAAACAAAACCAGCGGCTCTCCTCAATCGTTTATTAGAGTCTGCTAGATTAAGAAGGTCATCAAGGTTCAAAAACTCCAAATTTGTTTCGAGGCAATCAATATTTAGATCTGTGAACTTCATCTTGGCACTGAATTTTTCTTTTATAATTCCTGTCGAATATGAAATAAAATGAAAAAAAGATCAAATTATTGATCTCGATAATATGCTTTTCATTCTAAGGACTCACCAAACGGCCTACTTTCACTGATTGAAGGAAATAAAAATGAAATATGTATCTCAATAAAACACGTTCTTATATTTTTAGAATAATTTTAGTAACAAAACTCTAATTATAGTTGTATAGCTGTTGTAACGCCAAATGCACTAATGGGTTTAATGAAAGGAAAGCATATCTACATGTATGCAGATGTGCTATTATCAGTAACGAATCTTTGTGTATATATCTGTTTTTTCTATGTGTGATATACTGGATATACATATGTGTTTCTTTTCTTTGTTGGCAAGGAAAAATATTTTGTTTTCTTTTTACAGAAATTTATTGAAGAAAGGAAATATGATAGAACATGGCTATTTTTTATTTTTTATTTTCATTTGAAAAACGAATATCAAAAATCCGTTTCACTCCATTCAAAAAAAAAACTTTTCCGATAGGGTTCGATACTTCTAAAAGTGAGTGCATTGTTGACGTTTAAAAGCCGCTCGCGTGTTTGGTTAATGTTTTCATTTTAAAATAAATGTCAAATTCTCTAATCACAGTAGCACGATGTCAATCATTTTGGGAAAATTGAATTCGATTTTATTGCGTGAACATTTTGGAATAAATGCACAAATTGTTGGTGATTGTTTGTTTTCGGCGGTACAATCACGTCCATTATCAACGATTATAAAAACAACCGGTTTAACAAAAAACGAAGTTTCGGCTGCGTTGTCATCGCTCATTCGTTTCCGTTTGGTTCAATTTACATCGAGCGCACAAAGTGTGGAATATTCAATAAAACCTGAAAAAGTATATTTACTAATTCGATATGCCAAATACGTTCAATATTTGCATGAGAAATGCGGTGAATTGGCCGGATTGCTGATAAACGAGCTACAACGTGTGGGCAGTGACATTGCAACCAATTTGATTGTACGATGTACCGAAACGGAATTAGCTCGTGACAAACTGAGTGAATTACGAACGGAATTTCTAAATTTGGTGCAAAAGAAGTACGTAATGCGAGCACCAGCTTTGGTACAAAACGATGAAGCAACTCTAATACCCGCATTCAATATTGATGAGCACAGTTTTTTCTTGGAGCCAGAAATTGATCTGGTCACATTGGTCCGTGTAAAAAATCGTGAAACAACCGAATCCAGTGACAAAAATATCTATTGGTTTGTGAATATTGATCGATTGCATCAGGAGTTCCGCGATATGGTAATGGTTGAAGCGATTGAAAGAACCATTGATCCAACCGCTGCTGAAGTTCTTCGCTGCATGTTAGAGCTAATGTATGAACGAACGGCTGCATGGCAGGCGGTTACAAATCCCGTATCTTACTCAGAAATACGGCATAACATTGAAAAATCACCGAAATGGAAAGCAAATACAAAGTTAACAAGGCAATTGGATCAATACATAGCCGTTATATGCGAGGATAGTATGAAATTTGTTGGAAAATTTGGCGAAGCTGGCGGTGGTCAGTATGTGATTCAAATGAAACACGCCATTGAGGGTTTGACATGGGCATGCATTGAGAAAATTTGCGAAGAACGATTTTCGTCGAAAGCAGCACGCATATTTCGAATTATTCGATATCAAAAGTATTGTGATCAAGACGATATACAAAAAGAGGCAATGATACCATCAAAGGAGGCTAAATATATAACATACAAATTGGTTGAAGAGAATTTCATTCAAATAAAAACAATTCGAAAATCTGGTGCCGGTGGTAATACAGCCAAATCATTTTGTTTATTCCATGTGAATCAACAGCAAATTGTATCGATGCTGCTGGAACATTGTTACAAAGCACTTTTTAATTGTTTGACCCGAGCCGATCACATCAAATCAGAAGGCCGACGACTTATTGAAAAATCCCAACGACTCGATATGATCGTACAAGCGATGAAAGAACGAGGTGAATCCGAAGAATATATTCAAGAAATTTATGAAACGATGACACCACCGGAAAAAGAATTACTGGAAAACATAAATACACGATGCAATAATCTGAGATATGCCGAAATTGGTTTGGACGAAACCATATTTTTACTACAGTTATATCAATATTATCAACATTTAAAATAAAAATTGATTGTTTTTTTTTTATTTTTAGAACGAAAAAAAATGTTTGTTTATTTCCATGCAAAACGAAATTCAATTCAAAAGATGTTTGAAAAGTCATTCACTTTGCACGTGACGATTTTCCGATAGGGACACAAATACTTGTGTCAAATTCAAACATATATCTTGAACGGTTTTTTCACCATTCTTCTTCTTATTCATATAAATTTAGACGCGCTAAGAAATGATTCTTGTCCGATGCAAGTTGTCAAGTGGAAAAGCATGCGCGCGCCCAATTTCATACAATAAAAAGGTAAAAACGAATGTATTCAAGAGTCTCACCAACACACACACGCACACACACACACCCATTTTCGAATCATTTGCGCAAAAAAAAATGTGTGGATAGAATAACACATATAGCAAACGGAACGGTGTTGCTGAGCAAAGAATGTGATGAACATTTCATATTGATTTTAGTGAAAAGCCATCACATAGACAGAGACAGCGTTGGGCGAATGAATCATCAACGTTGCATATACGCGTGTGTGTTATTAATACTCACACAGGCGCACCGGTGGTGCTGAGAAGCCATCGCTGTTGGAAAAGAACATGTCCGCGTGTTTGTGTGTGTATGCGCGCGTATGTGTATGTGAACAAAAAAGGGAATACAGCCACTCCGAAATACGAGAGTCAAACGTTGAACAGTGTAGAATACAGTCGTCAACCATTCAAATCGCTCTTTCGCGCACAGTGTGTATTGTTCAGTTGTGTGTATAGCATATATTTCAAAGCAATTTCTCAATTCGGTATTCATCGCTGTTGTGTTAAGAGATATAGATTGTGTGCTGTGCCCATTGTCTGGATATTTTTTTCGTGGTTACATTTTTTTAAAATCGAAAAACATCAACGATGTCGGAACGTGAAAATAATGTTTACAAAGCTAAATTGGCTGAACAAGCTGAACGTTACGATGGTGAGTTGATATTTTTAGGGAATTTCGTGTAGTTTTCGTGAAAATCGCATTCAAACATCAAACAAGCGAAAAATAAATCAATTCATTTTTTTCTCGTTCGTACGTGCGTCAAAATTGATGCAAACACAACTATGGGAACAAATTGTTCGCGCTTCATTCTCACACATTCAATCCAGTATCGTTCATAAAAATGACATAAAAAAAATATTATTGAGAATCTTTGGAACATTCTCGATGGGATTTATTTCTAAAAATACAAAACATGAATCGATGATGGTGATGCTTTGGTTTTTCCATACGTATATACATTTATACACTTATACACAGATTTTTTTTCTTCGTTCGGTGACAATAGATGAATAGGAAAGAGAAAAAAGCCGCTAAAAATTTCAACCGTCCAAATTTTTCGTTTTGCTTGCTAAAGTAGTGCACAATTCGCATGAAAAAAAATGAAATGTTCATAGTGTGAGTGAGATAAACGGAACAAAATTTCAAATTACAAAAAAATGCGACGAAATAAAATGGTAAAGAATAACGTACGAATGGAATGATGCTAAAATGGTTGTAAATGGCGGCGGTGCTGTACAATTTTTTTTTTCGTTACTTTGTTCGTTCGTTCGTATATACATATAGTTTCACTGTATTTGCTTCTTTCGACTTCTCTCGTTTACACAACTACAATCAAAGGTGACCGAACATTCTGTTGTTGCCGTCTGGATATTTATATATATAAGTGTTAATTTCAACGAACCGAAAAATACAGGCGATAATTATTTGAAAATTAACAAAATTTCCACTCGAATGCATTTGAATTAAGTTTAAATAATCGATTCCGATCTATTTTGCAATGTCACAAAACAATCGTATTTTTTTGACGCTTCACTCGTTTTTTTATTCTTTTCAATTGAATTCACAGACGTAGATACCGACTAACAAGTCATAAAACTACTACTACACACAGCGCATGCATTTATATCACCATTTATTTCATTTGACATTTTTTTTGCGAACAAATTTCGCAAATTTCCAACCATTCCGAAGTAATTTGAATAGTTTTTTTTTCTGGAAAATTCCTGAAAACCAATTGATAAAAAAAAATGCCATACATATAACCGTATTGTAGATATCGTAGTAGAAAATCAATGGAGAAATTCGAAACTCATAGTAACAGCAATGGAAAAAAGGAGGAAAAAAGCACCGTCGCTATGAATCGTTTTTAAGGCGTATAGGATTGTATGCGTTTTATGTGAGCGTATTAGTTGAAAGTTGGATGGCATAGCCGTTTACTCCAAAGAACACGAAATGAATGTAATATATGTGGACGATCGATGCGCCACACACACGATTCATACATATACATACATACATGTATAGATATGTACATGTGTATGCATACATGCCTGCCATATTTTTCCCAACCGAGCAGATTCACGTGAAATGTACGATGTGTAGAGACATAGAGAGAGAAAAGAAGAAGCAAACGAGAGAAGAAAAAAAAACGCCCGTGGTCGTTCAACGTCTACTTACGGATTTGAAATCAAAATTCGAGAACCTATCAAATTAAAAATTAAATAAAGACCCGGAGCAGGGTTCATACCATCATGATAAAATAGTATCCAAATTGCCGCAACAATCATTGACAAACAAAATGCTCAACTTAAATAAATGATTCTTTTTCAATCGTTTTGGTTTTATGAATAGAGAGAGAGAGAGAGAGAAATGAAATTGAGTGGCCGTTATGTGGTAGTTCTCTATTTGCACAATTTCACCTATTGTCATTTTCTGATCCATTAAAATGGCCATTGTTCGGCCATCTACTTTCAGTCAACCACACTCATGATTTACATCTACCACACAATAATATAGTCACATTCATCAACAGCGCCAACACACAACAACAAGCAAGAAAATCACATTTTCCATCCCGCAATTTCCATGGTCTTTTTCTATTTCATCATACATATATAGAGATAGACCATGCATTGTAGATTCAATTAATTTTCCTCTTTTTGGTGAATAAATTGAATTACATTTACATCACAAAGCATCTTCCTGAAAGTGTGCACACGCAAACACACACACACACACACAGGTTTGTTGCTGAGGCCATGACAAAACGATAGATATGTGCGTCACTTTAGCCGATGGCAAACATCGAGCCACATGAAAAATCGTTTCGCTCTTCATTCTTGCATTTAGCCAAATAGTCTTTTGCACACATTACTTTTAACGATGATGATGATGATGATGATGGTTTCGGAACTTTTTTCGTCGTCTTCTTCTTGTGCTGCATCATTTGCCATAAATATTACTTTTATCGTTACCGTTTTTTTTTTTGCAATTTCTTGTATCCATCACAAGGCCGCTCATCATCGTTTTCACGAAATTCGCACTCTCTAATGCGCAATGCATACTACTCACAGTATGTACTCATATACAATCATGTTCGTTCAGCGACCATATTTTTTTTCTCCTTCGTCATCGCATTCTATTTGTTTTAATATTTCAAACGGTTTGATTATTATGATGAGAGACAGAAAGATATAACAATCCTGTGAACAAAACTATTTACATTGTTTGCAGATCCACACAATACAGATGAATATCCAACAAACAATTGATTATTGTCAATATCTTTTCATCAGCATATATCTTTTTTTTTATTATTTGGCCATCAATTGATGATTTCGAATGCTTATGTTTATTGAATGTGACAACAGTTTTTATGTGATTTCCTATTATTGGTGTGGTTATTACTTTAACCGATATTATTATATTCTCGGTTTCGGGCATTTTCTATTTTTACCAATAAATATACGAAAAGCTAAAAAGAGACAGAGACAGTGAGAGCGAGAAAGAGTTACAGCGATCAAGCGAAAAATAAAATTTGAACGCCTACGTCACGCATGTGTGTATAATAAAACTGGCTTAGTCATACAATATTAAAATACGCAAAAGCCATCAATATGTCAAAAGTCGAATAAAATATCATCTTGAGACTGTAAAAATCATAAAGAAACAGAAAAAAAATATATACATTTCACTTCTCGTGATATTCGCCGGCTGCACTGCCCAGAAACATCGAAATGTCGTTACGCTTTTTATCGGCTCTCGCAAAACGGTGAACATGGCTTGACAAAAATAATTCACTGACAGAGAGAATAAGAAAGAGGTTCAAGTAAAACCGGTTCATGAAAATTCATTGATAAAAGAGCACTTCTTGTTCATGCACTTGTTTGAAAAGTACATTTAAATGTGCCATGCTTTTTCCTAGCCTATTGTTTTTATGTATGCAAATGTCATTCAGTTGTGGTGCCATGTGAAAATTTACTATTTAAATTTATTTTTATTTTATTCAATATTTTCGTTGATTTGTTGTTAAATCACACATCCAGCCCCATATATTATCATTTATATCAAAAATTTGAATTCGCATCAAATTCACACAGTATAGTTGGGCTAAATGACGAACCAATATATTACAAAAACGAAGTCAATTCGAGAAAAGGAGATAACGAACAACAAAATATAAGGCGTGTACCGTTTTATGTGTCGATTGATGATTCATAAGGATTGCGTAAAATCGTGTGCTGAAAGTGTATGATTTTTTTTCTGTATCATATTCATTTGTAAATTCCAAAGTCAATTTTTTATTCTGTTTCCTTCGTTCGACATTTCTGTCACACACTATGGCGCGATATCTCGTTTCGCATATTACTTTAATGCAATTTAAGTTGAAAATGTTCCACTACAACATTGATATCGTCGCGGTTTTTCGTTAAATTCAAGAGTGAATAGTGACTCTTTTATATCAGTGATTCAGTCAATATCACCTTTATGCCGATGCCATCATATTGAATTGAATATGCGAATAAACACGCACATCGATACCAATTCACACATGGACACGGCCACAAATCGCCCAAAAGAAACGCTCAAAGAATATAACCGAAACCGAAAGAGAAGAGAAGAGAAAAACGTCATCGTGCACATGCGAGTTTTGCACATACGCTTCGTTCAAAAAGCGTATGCTTTATACATCCACCTAATGGTGTATGTGCACGCCACATGCATATGCATGTATTGGTGTTCGTCTCATAATCATCGTCTAGCACACAAATACACGCACACATATTCACCTTGAGTTGAGCGAATATATATATATATATATATATATATGTGGACACACCATGTAAAGCGCGTCTCTTTTGCTTGAGTTCAACATTCGATGGCATTACGAGTCGCGCATTTCTAGCATATTCGGCAACAAGCCGAAATACATAGAGAAAACAAGACTTTACACTCAGAGATAGAGAGAGAGAGTCACTCATTCGCTTAAATCGATTCAAAAATATAATGCACAAATACACATTCAATGATAATATATTCTTCGCATAAGAAATAAAATGATTCTTCCATGTACTTCCATCTCGTTCTTTTGTGCGTCTCAACATCGGCTACTGGCGGTTATTACTACAAACTATATACATTTTCTTTTTTCTCGTTTTATTTGTTAATGAACCGAAACAATAGTTTGGTCGATTTAAGTCGATTTTTTTTTCGCTGCATCTTTTAGCATGAGATGCCATTTGAAAATTGCAAATCAAGACGGGATTTGGTATGTGTCGTGTTAGGAATTCCATTAAATTTCAACGGGCACTATATCTACGCTAGGATTTTGATTGGTGTTTGCATGTATTGGTGTTTGTGTTTGTGCGCAAGATGTGCACATACGGACACCACTGTGTGTTGAACAGTGTTTTTTTTTTGTTCTTTTTTCCGTTTGTTAAATGGCTCAAACACACGCTTCACGAATGATGAAGTAATGTTGTTTCGATGGAAACGATATACACACCAAAACCAATTTGCGCAGCGTTTTATGTCGCTCAAAAACCAATTTATATATCGAGCGTTTTGTGTTTGCTTTGAAACTGCGTTGGTGCAGCTAAAAAGCGAATAAGTGCAAATTAAGAACGAAAACGACAAAAAAATAATACGAA